AGAGTCTTATAAGCTACATGTTTTGCCTTTGCATTTGTGTTCTAGCTATGTAAGGGATTTAGGGCAGAAAACATTGCATGATGCTGACAGCACACTTGGCACCTATATGAAAAGAATTGAGTTTGTTTTGAAAATTGGCACAGCACCAAAAGTAGCTGTTGATTTTTGAAAGGTCTGGGCATGATGTGGCAATCTATCATGTGTACTAAATAAGACTTATTGTTTGTATGCAGTGATATCCTGTCAAATGTTTAAAAAGTGGTTCTTCTCCTGTTTCCCACTTTGGTAAAAAATATATATATGTATATATTCATCAATTTCCATGAAGCAAATACTAGTACTATGGATGATTTCAAACTACTAATGTAACATTAATTGTTTTGAAAAATTCCTGAACATTTGACAGTTGGTTCTTATGTGCTGATCTGAGCCCAATCTAGCACACTACTGATTTTAAGAAGAGAAATCCAACTCAATATGATTTAAGGGAAAACTAGAATTATTGGCTCATGTAACTGAAAAGATTAGGGTCAGAGCTGACCTCAGACCTGGCTGGGTGCAGGGCTTGCTTTGCCAACTTTTGGCTGTGGGCTAGTGGAATTCTCCATATACTGTAGATGCCCCCAGAAGCTTCAGATCTGGATCTTAAAGTCAGACTAAGTGAGTAAAGATGAAGAACTCTGGGTCAGACTGGGTTAAAATCTCATCTTGCCACATACTTACCACAATGTCCTTGGGCAATTTAATACCTCTGTGGCACAGTTTCTTCATCTGTGTAATAAAAATACTTATGGCATGGGATTGTTTTGTATATTGAGTGAATTGATATCTAATAAAGACTACTGCTCATTATACCTTTCATTCAGTGTATTAAAATATATATGTCTGGGACTTATCCCAGACACAAAGGTTGGTCTAACTTCAAACAATCAGTCAATGTAATATACAGCAGATCAATAAAATGAAGGGCAAAAGACACATGGTAATGATAATAGGTGAAGAAAAAGCATTTGACAAAGCCAACACTCTCTCATGATAGTAAAGACACTCAACAAGCTAGGAAGCTAGGAATAGAAAGGAACATCCTCAATCTGATATAGGATATATATGAAAAATCCACAGCTAACATCATACCAAAAGCTTTTGCCCTAAGATCAGGAACAAGATAAGGATGCTCATGCTTGCTGGTTACATTCAGGCCAAAAGAATTGTGCAATAAAATCAATAAAAGGCATCCAGATTGAAAACGAAGAAGTAAAATCATCTTTATTTACATATGGCATGATCTTTTATTTAGGAAATTCTAAAGGTTGCAGGGTACAAGATTAATATACAATAATTGATCATATTTCTACACACTAGCAATAAATAAACTGAATATACAATAAAAAAATTTATTTATAATAGCATAAAAACAATATTTATGAATTAATTTAACAAAAGAAGTGCAAAAATCATGCTCAAAATTATAAAACGTTGAAAGAAATTAATGAAACTTTAAAAAATTAAATGATAGGCCATGTTTATAGATTGGTTTTATTGTTAATATGGCAGTACACCCCAACTTGATCTATAGATTCAATGCGACCCTTTTTAAAATCCCAACTGACTTATTTATAGAAATTGAAAAGCTGATTCTGAAATGTATATGGAAATTCATGGGACCCAGAATAGTAAAAACAATCTGGAAAGTGAAGAACAACATTGTAAAACTCAAACTTAATGATTTCAAATGTAAAAATTACTACAAAGCTACAGTAATCAAGACCATCTGAAACTGGCATAAAAATGGATATGTAGATCAATGGGATAGAATTTGGAGACCAGAATTAAACCTTTGCATAAATAAATTTATGGTCAATTGTTTTTTAACAAGAGTGCATAGACCATTTGATGGGGAAAGAAAAGTATTTTCAACAAATAGTGGTGAGAAAACTGGATAGCCACATAAAAAAATTAACTTGAACTCCTTACATCCTACACAAAATTAAGTAGAACAAAACTTAAATGTAAGTGCTAAAGTTACAAAATTCTTATAAGGAACTTTAGGTTATGCCAAGTCATTTTAGACATGACACTAGAAGGACAAGCATTCAAAGGAAAAATGGATTGAATTTCAGCAAAATTAGACACTTTTGTGTTTCTAAGAACACCATCAAGAAGGGGAAAAGACTACCCACAGAATGGGAGAAAATTATTTGCAAATCATATGTCTGATAAGGGACTTGTATTTAGAATATATATAAACTCTTACAACTTTATAATATAAAGACAATTCCATGACAAAAATGGGCAAATAATCTGAACAGATATTTATCATAGATATACAAATGGCCAATCAACTCATGAAAAGATGCTTATCATTATAACCATTAGATAAATGTAAATTAAAAGCATAATGTGACACCACTTCACACCCACTAAGATGGTTCAATCAAAAAGATAAAAAGTGTTGAAAAGGATGTGGAGAATTTGGACTGTTCATATATTGCAGGTAGGGATGTAAAATGGTGCAATTGCTTTGGAAACCAGTCTAGCTGAAAAGGTTAAACAGGGTCACCATATGTCTCAGCTATTCCACTCCTAGGTATATATCCCTAAGAGATGTGAAAACATACATCCGCACAAAACTTGTACACAAATGTTCATACCAACATTATTCATAACAGCCCAAACAGTGGAAATAACCTAAGGTCCCTTCTCTGATAAATGGATAAATTGTGTTATATTCATACAGTGGAATTTTATTTGACTATATAAAGAAAGTATTGTTATAAGTGACAGAATGTATAAACCTTGAAAACACTATGGTAAGTGAAATAAGTCATGTACAAAAGACCACATGTAGTATGAGTCCATTTACATAAAACATCCAGAATAGGCAAATCCATAGAAACAGTATATTTGCTTGTGTAGGATTGGAGACATTAGTATGTCATAAGGAGTAACTGTTAATGGGTATAGGTTTCTTTTTTGGGGTGATCAAATGTCCTAAAATTGATCATGATGATGGTTGCATAACTTTGTGAATACACTTAAAACAATTGAATTGTACACGTAAATGGGTGAATTGTATGGTATGTGAATTATATTTCAATAGAGCTTTTTTAAAAATGTGACTAACATGTATTGCTTTGAATGTTTAATGAAGCTTTCTCAAAAGTTGTTTGGCAGCTAATGACAAATCTTGGAAATATATATTGAAAATAGCTGAAAAGCTTTAAAACCTTGTTTTTCCTTTAGAGTTTCTTATTAGTGCTCCCTTTTCATTGATGTCATGAGACTTTCCCTTAAGAGTGATATGTTCTTTAACAATAGTCCAGAAATGAAAGAAGCAAATTTTTTCAACACATTTTTTTAACTACCTCCATGCATTTGAAATTAGAACCTTCCAACATGGACCTCAATAGCACTTACCTTGTGTATCCAATAAAAATGACCACCCACGAAGCGGCTTCAAGTGTATTATTTTGCAGTTCTATAGTTTAGAAATTTGATACATATTTCTCTGGATTAAAATTAAGGTGTTTCCAGCATTGAGCTTCTCCTAGGAACTCTGACAGCGAATCTGTTTCCTTGCCTTTTCGAGTTTATAGAGGTCTTCTGTACTCTCTCGGTTCATGTCCCTCCATCTTCAAAGTCAGCAATGGATAGTCAAGTCCTTGTAACATTGCACCACTCTGACCTAGCTTCCATTGTCACATCTCTCTTCCTGGCTCTCTTCCTCTGCATCTCTCTTCCACTTTTAAAGACTCTTTTGATTACCTTAGGCCCACCTAAGGAATCCAGGATAATCTGCCAATTTTAAGGAAGGCTGATTAGCAGCAGTCAGTCCTAACTCCATCTGCAGCCACAGGGTATGGACATCTCGGGGAGGGGGCATTATTCTAACTACTATACTATGATTTTTTTCTTGGTAGAAATGTGTGTAAGTCAAGGTAATGGAGAAAGTCCTATGGGTCCATGGTAGTTTAATTACCAAAGGATGGTTTCTCTTTTGGGCAATGTGCTGTAGTAAATTTCAACACCAGTGAAGGGCATGCCTTTATTTTGTAAAGTGGAGAAAGGCTATTGTGAACTCAGGCTTGTTCTCAAACAAACCAATTTTAAGGGGAAAATAAATGCAGAAATTGAGGATCTGGAATAGGATTGATTGTTTTCAAATTATTGGGGTGGCACAGCCATTGAGTCTTCCCATGACCCAGGGCCCCAGTTAGATGATCACTGATTTGAGGCAGTGGTTTCCAAACTTGGCTGCCTTTATAATTTACCTGAACTATTTAAACAATAGGATCCGATTCCCAGGCTTTAATCCAGACTTGCTGAATCAGACGTTTAAGAAGCAGAGACCTGAAAGGTACTTTGACAAATTTCTTTAGTTGATTCTAATAATTAACCGGATTAGATAAATACTGGTTTAGAAAACAAAGGAAGTTGAATTAGGAATAATAGAAGATACATATTTTCACTAGCCACTTCTATTAATTGCTGGTTAGTTTTGAAGGTCACAGAAGTTTTAAATATGACCTATAGCTTTGGCCAGTCTAACTCCTATGTAGCCAATAGAGAAATCTGAAAGTATCCTTCTTCTCGCCTCCAAGTAATCACCCCCAACCACAGAAAACTAGAACCATTGACTTTTTCTTCTTTTGGACACATAAACTCTACCAGCATAAGCTATGGCTTATATGAGTTTGAATTTGTTAATTTGTCATAATGTGATTAGTTAAGCTATAGTCTTGTCCCATAGATCTAATGTGAGAATACAGTAATGCTTGCAATCACCTTTAATTTATCCCAAAAGCGTGATATATCAAGTTATGGTTATAATTACTATATAAAAATCTATGAATTAGCATATTTTTTACACCTTACAGGAAAATGTTGATTTCTTTGTAACTTAGTTTAATGATCTTTTCATAAATATACAATTAATCAGGAGGACCATAGTTGACCTTTGAACATTTTGATAGGACTGAAATGTTGCATTTTCTCTGTAGATATCACACTACAAAAAGATACTCAGGAAGGAGCTCCACCCTTGACCCAGAGTGAGGAACCCCTGAAACCTCAGGAGAATATATCACGACCCATTCACCATCCTTTAGTTTTAAAAACTAACTTTGAGGAAGAAGAGGAGGGAGGAAATGAGCAAAATGGTTAGTAAATTTTTCTCAGATTTACAATGCATATTCAAAAACCTCTACATATTTGTTTTACGACAAAAGTTTTAGAATAATATATAAGGCAGATTCTGATGAGAAAATGGCTTTAGCTTTATTAAGTACATTAAATTCATCAGGTACTAATTTGTTCTATGTCTACACTTGCTTATTATTTGGATTGAAAGATTTTTGTATGACGGCTGGGAGACAGTTTTTCTATTTAAATATGTACAGCTGCTTGTAGGGATACTTAATCACTTATTTATATATATAACTTAACATCGATATACACTTGCCCATCTATTTATTGCATGATTATATCTATTTGTCTCACATGTAATCCTTAAAATTACAGAGATCCATAGAGCAGTTTATCATTTGTAAAGTCCTATCATCCACATTACCCCAGTATTCTTGCAAAAGTATAAACAAGGTTAGAGCCCAGTTCTTTTCCGTCCTAGCCAATCCTTTTCATCCCATATTATCACAGCACTGTGGTGCGAATATGTATGTATGAACAAAATAAACATGCCGAAAAATAAACTCTCACTCTGCCCTGGAATGTGTCCTTCTGTGGGCCACACGTGGGCCACCGCAGTGTCTGCGCTCGGGAGTACACAGGAGCGTGTATTCCCGTTTTTCTCTGCTGTAGCTCCGTGTCTCCCTCACCCACGCCTTCCTCCAAACAGGCAAATGCGATCTCAACATGTGAATCGACAGCTCCAGCTTAAGACACATAATGTATAATTAGTGACTTCTTTCCTCTTGACTGAGCCTGTCTAATGTGAAATGTAGAAATTAGAAATATTTGCCACTATACAGATCATTGATTTAAAAACTTTTTTTTACAAAAACAAAATAGTAATCCACCCATGAGAACAATGTTTGGGATTTTTCATTTTGATTTATAAATTTTCAGATTATTTGGCTTTGGGATAATTTAATTAAAAAAAATATATATATCCTATAGATGCCTCTAGTTTATGGACAAAGACTCCTGAAGAAATTGAAGAAAAAAGAGCAATAAAGGAGATGTGTTACAAATCTGGTAAGTAATCAGATGTTTGTGGATTTTCTAATACTTGATGTCACAAATATACTAACCGTTACTTTTCTTATGGGAGATTAGGTGAATACTACAGAGTTCACACTCCTCCAGATATTTCAGCATCAAAAAGCACAGCCTCTACAGCAGAGAAAGAGTTAGAAAAGCCTTTGGAAAAAGGCAGTGAATTGCAAGAAGGTAAGGGATCAAATGGTAGCATTTCAAGGTGATCCATTAGAGATACTTGGTATGATAGGCTGTGAATTATTTAGTAAGATATACTATAGAGTTAAGTGACTAATAATACATCAGAATTGAGAGTAAGAAGAAAGTTATTTTATCGTATGACCTAAATTTAGTGTAAAACGCTGTTATTAATTAAGCTTTCCCTGAAATAACAAAGGGAAGGCTTCATAAACACTATATTCCCCAGGCAGTGATTCTGTAAATAGCTTGCTTTTACCATTTTATTTGTCTATGAAAATAAATTTCCATGTGAAATAGGAGATTTGTGAATAGATAGGACAACCTAGCCCTCGAAGGACATTAAGAAGATCCACAAGATGACGTTAGTGGCAGAACAGGGGTACATTTGTTCATTGAATGAGTGCCTTCTGTGTATCAGACAATTTCAGGGGAGATGTAGGTGGAAAATTCCAAACTGTGGCTTTCGTGGATCTTATACTTTGGTGAATCTGATTTTTCTGTTGGTAAACATTTTTCCCTTGATGAGATAAAAACATTGTTTTCTTGATATAAAACCAGAAACTCAGAGAAAATCTACAGGTGCCTTAGGTTTATATAGTTTTCTTGCCGCTAGGATGACCTAAAAAACAAGTTTTGCAGCAGTGGGAGGGAGTTGAATCCCTTCCTACCCTAAAAAAACACACACATACAAACACACACACACACAAAATGAAAACAAAACTTGAGAAAGTCTCTCAGGATCAAGATGAGTATAGGGTAAAGATTAAAGTGCCTGTCTTGCAAGTATGTATGTAGCAAAGCATTTAAACATGTGACGCTGGGTGGCAGCAACGCACCATCAGATGGTGGAACAATCAGAAAGAACTAGTTGATTGGTAGGGAGGACAGGGCTGCCCGCATCACTGAGTACCCAGACCCAAAGCAAAACAACACAAAAAACCCCACATACAAGCCCCCCCAAGCCCCAAACAATAACAAAACAAAAATAAAGAAACCCAGTTAGCAAAATGCATATTAAAAATGGTGGATTATAAAGATAATTATATGCATTTTTGCTTTCTATTATTTTTTAAAAAGCTTTTCATGCCCTGGCCAGATAGCTCAGTTGCTTAGCACGTCCTCCCCATACACCAAGGTTGCGGGTTCGATCTCAGGTCAGGGCACATTCAAGAAGCAACCAATGCTGCATAAAATAAGTGGAACAACAAAGTGATGTTTTTTCCCTCTCCCTCTGTTGCTTCCTCTCTAAAATCAATCAATAAAAAAATAAATAAATAACTTTTTATGTTAAAATAATTTCAGTTAATTCATAAATGCTCTTTACCTGGATTTCCCCAAATGTTAACATTTTACACATGTGATTTTCACTTTCTCTCTAAATATACACATTGTTTTTGTTATTTTTGAACTGTTAGAGATTAAGTTTCAGACATGATGCTCCTACATAAATCTTACAGGACTGTAGTAAAAATATCAAATTCAGGAAATTACCACTGATACAATACTACATACATACTTTTTTTTTTTATTCCATCGATGTCCTTTATAGCAAAATGAAGATTTTTGTTTCTTGGTTTAGAATTCTGGTTTCATTAGATTGTCATATTTCTTTTATTCTACTTTTAATAGTTTACTTTAGAAAAAAATTGGATATGTATAAGAAAAATGGTGAGAATTGTTTATCACAATATAGTTAGCATTTTTATCAATAGTAGACTAATATTTTTACTTAATTTGTTTATAATGAATATATATAAACAAGTATAACAAAATTCATTACATAAAAACATTTAAATAATCTAAATATATTATACACATGCGATGTTAGATTGCTTAAAGTTTTAAAATTGCGTTTATTAATTATTCACATAAGAAAATAAATTTGCTTGACACTTTCCTGATAATTATAAAATTTGCTTAAAATTCATGTATTTATAAATGTATTGTTCATCGTCATTATGTGAACAATGCTTGCATTAACTTTTAGGCTTTTTACAATCATTATGAATTCTATCATAAACTTATGTAAGCACCTAACGATTCCTGAGGTAATTATTATTATTTTTTTTAACTTCAAGGGGATGGGCTTACAATTCCAACAAAATTCAGCGTAATTGAAAGGCAGGGTGAGGCCAAAGCATCATTGGATAGGAAACCCAGGACTGACATGGCTGCTTTTGAAAATGGAGGTGAGTTATTTTATTACTCATTGATCCTCAATATATCATTATATAATAACTGAGTTTGAATTTTCTCTCACAACTAATTTTGTTTCATCAAAATCTTTTTGACATTTTTATCATTGGCTTTGGGTAAGCTCCTTAAGGCCAGGAACTGTACATAATCAGTTGCCGCAGATGAATCCCTGTAGCAGAATGGCTGGCACTTGACGTGCTCTCCGCAAATATTTGTAGAATAATTGCCTTTATTATGTTTAGACAATTAAATGAGTGGAAGAATGGAGACATGTTTATAAAATTTACAGATGACTGGAAGTTAATATGCTGGCACAATAAGTCAGATTTAACAAGGTAAACTCAAACTGGAATAAACAAGGTCTTGCATTTAAAAATCAACTCAAAATGGATCAAAGACCTAAAGATAAGTCTTGAAACAAATTACATAGAAGAAAACATAGATGGTAAACTTATGAACCTTGGTCTAAGAGAAGATTTCATGAATTTGGCCCCAAAAGCAAGGGAAGTAAAGGCAAAAAATAAATGAATGGGACTATATCAAACTAAAAAGCTTCTGCACAGCAAAAGAAACTGCCAAAAAAACAAAAAGGCAACCAACCAAATGGAAGAAGACATTTGCAAACAACAGCTCCAACAAGGAGTTAACATTCAAAATATGTAAAGAACTCATATTACTCAAGACGAATCAATCCAATTAAAAAATGGGCAGGGGACCTGAACAAACACTTCTCCCAAGAAGAGATACCAATGTCCAGCAGAGATATGAAAAGATGCTCAACTTCTCTAGCCATTAAACAAATGCAAATCAAAACTACAATGAGATACCACCTCGCACCTGTTAGAATGGCTGTTATCAACAAGACAAGGAATAACAAGTGTTGGAGAGGTTGTGGGGGAAAGGAACCCTCATTCCCAAATTCGCTGCTGGTGGAAATGAATACTGATACAGCCATTATGGAAAACAGTATGGTGGTTCCTCAAAAAACTAAGAATAGAGTTACCATATGACCCAGTAACCTTTCTTCTGACCATCTGCTCAAAAAACTTGAAAGCATTTATTCACAAAGATATATGCACCCCTGTGTTCATCGCAGCATTATTCATGGTGGCCAAGACATGGAAACAACTGAAGTGTCCTTCACTAGATGACTGGATAAAGAAGATGTACAGTGGGGTACTGCTCAGCCACAGAAAAGATGAAATACTGCCGTTTGTGATAGCATAGATGGATCTTGAAAATATCACCCTAAGCAAAATAAGTCAGAAAAGTTAAGAACTATATGATTTCACTGATACCTGGGATGTAAAACTGAAAGCAACAAGTGAACAAACAAATAAAACAAAAACTATAGACACAGAAAACAGTATGGTGGTTACCAGAAGAAAGAGGGGTGAGAAGGTGAGTAAAGGGTAAAGGGGGTCAAGTAAATGGTGACAGAAGAAGACTTGACTTTGAGAGGTGGGCACACAATGCAATATACAGATGATGTATCATAGAATTGTACACTTGACATCTACATAATCTTATTAATCAATGTCACCCCAGTGAATTTAATTTAAAAAATGAATTATTAAATACAAGGAAAAAAAGATCAAAACATTAATGATAGGTTTTCTTCAATTTGGGAAAGACCTGACATGATACAGATTGTGAGGGAATAATAGATGTTTGTTGGCCACAAGGTTTTCAAAATGATTCAGTAACATGGGTCATCTAGCAAATGGCTAAAGTAAAACTCACATTGAATTATCAGGAGTAGTACAGGAAGATAAATAGATGTGATAAGTCATTTAAAGTACTCAGAGGAGTGTCTGACATATAGCAGAATGCTCCATAAATGTCAAATATTATTATACTAGTTTCACTGATTTCTCTACAGGGCAGCCCACATTTGGGCTTCACCTTTAAAAAAAGGTCACTTGAAACAGTGTATGTTGAGAAAGGGTGACTTGTGTGGTGAAGCATCTGGAAATTAAATACATAAGTAATAGTTAATATAACTATAGATATTTATCTTGAAAAATAGAAGACCTTTAAGGAACACAAAAACAGCTTTCATATATCTGAAGATATATCTGGAGGATAAATTATATTTACTCTCTCTTTAAAGGGTGAAAAAAGGTGGAATCAAAGGTGGTTATATGTTAAAGAAAAATTGTGTTGACTATGTAAATTTCCATGCAATTATCAGTATGTAAGTGTTCATACTGTGTATTCATATATACATATATTTACATGTATTAATCTAACATATATGATATATATTGAGATGGAGATGGGATCATTGAGAACTGTTTAGACCAAAGTGGACAAAAATATTATAGAGGAGGATAACCCTGTATTGAAAGGTAGTTTGGTAAAACTTTCTACCATCATTGCCACTAACAGTAAGTTATTGTCATAGGAGGTGACTGTTATGTTCCACAGAGGATCATATTTCTCGGAGTAGATGAAAAGAAAGAGAAAGAAATCATCGTGTCAAAATGTTCGAATACTAAAGGTAATAAACAATTTATAATTTTAATCAATCTGTAATTTGAATAGATACGTTAAAGCTTGACTTTTGTCTTACAGGCAAAGTAATCAATAAAACTGTCCAGTAAATACACTAAACGGGGGTCAAGAGCCCCAAAGTTCCAGTCCTGGCTTTGTGCCTAATTGTTTGACCATGATGCTTTATCTGATTAGCCTGAAAAATTAGCCTGTTGAGCTACATAATTTCTAGGAGTCTTCCTAGCTCTAAAGTTATTGATTCTCTTAAATAATAGCACCAAGTCATTTTCAGTTTCTTTTTCCAACTTCAAATACTCAGTATGGTTGAATTTTCTTAGAAAGTTTTGTTTGTGACCACGGAGAAGAGTACCAATCTCATGATGACTTCCACGATTTCCCCATTTAGTAATTATTACTAACTATAGCCTATGAATAATCAAGAGGCATGATCATAAAATGTACCCTCAATGTCTTATGATGCTCTTACCATGCTGGGAACCTCCCAACTGGTGCCTCTCTGTGGGGCAGCTCTCCCAGTCACAGGGTACAATTACAGCTGTCCTGTAATTAGAGAGCTTCACATATTCTCCTTCTAAATATTAACAAACCTCATCTACTGTTTTTTTCCACTAATAAATGTTCTCAAGAATAGGAAAAGGCACTTGTAATCAAATTAAAGGATTGCTAATGAAAAATATATGTAAATCTCTCTTCCTCTCTCTTTTACTTGGAGATGGAAAAGTTTTGTCCAATCCATTAAAAGCACCCTCCCCCCAAAACAGCCAAACAAAAAACACCCAAAAAACAAAGCTACACTAATAACAGTAGCCATTACCCACATATGGCTATTTAAGTTAATTAAAATTAGCCCTGGCTGGTGTGTCCAGTGGTTAGAGTGTCTGCCTGAGGCACACCAAAGGGTGTCAGGTTCAATTCCTGGTCAAGGGCATATACCTGGGTTGCAGATTCCATCCCTGGTCCTAGTAGGGGAATGTGCAGGAGGCAACCAATCAATATGTCTCTCTCACATCGATGTTTCTTTCTTTCTCCCTCCCTCCCTCCCTCCCTCCCT